AAGTGGTGAAAGAGGGCATCATGTGTTGTTCCAGTTTTTAGAGGGAATGCATTCAATTTTTCTCTATTTAGAATGATGTTGGCCTGGGGTTTAACACAGATAGCTTTTGTGATGTTGAGATATGTTCCTTTTATACCTAGTTTTTATAGTGTTTTGAACATGAAGGGGTGTTGTATTTTGTCAAATTCTTTTTCTGCATCTAATGAGATGGTCATTTGATTCTTATCTTTGAGTCTATTGATGTGATGAATTATGTTTATTGATTTCCGTATGTTGAACCAAACTTGCATCCCTGGGATGAATCCCTCTTGATCATGGTGCACAATCTTTTTGATATGTTTTTGTATTTGATTTGCCAGAATTTTATTGAGAATATTTGCATCTATGTTCATTAGAGATATTGGTCTGAAGTTTTCTTTTTTTGATGTGTCTTTGCCTGGTTTTGGAATCAGAGTGATATTGGCCTCATAGAATGAATTTGGGAGTGTTCACTCTTTTTCTTTTTCCTGAAATAAATTGAAAGTATTCGTATTAGTTCTTCTCTAAAGGTCTTGTAGAACTTGGCTGTGTATTCATCCATTCCTGGTCTTTTTTTTGGTCAGTAGGTTTCTGATGGCATCTTCTATTTCCTTGTTTAATATTGGTCTGTTTAAATTGTGTATATCATCATAATTTAGTTTGGGCATATCATAATCCTTTAGAAATTTGTTGATGCCTTTGATATTTTCTATTTTATTGGAGTACAAATTTTCAAAATAATTTCTGATTATCTTCTGTATATCTGTAGTTTCTGTTGTGATATTTCCTTTTTCATTAAGGATGTTATTTATTTGAGTTTTTCTCTGTCCTTTTCTTCATTAGTGTGGCTAATGGTTTATCAATTTTATTTATGTTTTCAAAGAACCAACTTTTTGTTCTGTCAATTTTTTTTCAATTGTTTCTATTTCATTGACTTCAGCTCGAATTTTAATTGTTTCCTGTCTTCTACTGTTTTTAGTGTTGATTTGTTCTTTTCCTAGGGCTTTTAGATGTAATATTAGGTAACTTATTTGTTGACACTTTCTTCTTTTAAGAAATGAACTCCATGCAATGAACTTTCCTCTTAGAACTGCTTCATAGTGTCCCAGAGATTTTCATATGTTGTATCAGTGTTCTCATTTACTTCTAAGAATTTTTAAATTTCCTCCTTGATATCTTTTGCAATCCATTGTTCATGTAATAGCATATTATTTAGTCTTCAGGTGTTGGAGTAGCTTTTATTTTTATTTTATTATTGATTTCTAATTTTATTCCATTGTAGTCTGATAAAATACAGGGTAGTATCTCTACTTTTTTGTATTTACTAAGAGATGCTTTGTGGCATAATATATGGTCTATTTTAGAGAAGGATCCATGTTCAGAGAAGAAAGTGTATTCACTTGTTGATGGATAATATATTCTTTATGTAAGTTAAATCTAAGTTATTGATTGTATTATTGAGTTATATAGTTTGTTTGTTTAGCTTTTGTTGGGAAGAGCTATCCAGTGATGAAAGAGGTGTGTTAAAGCGACCCAGAATTATTGTGTTGTATTTGACTCTTGAACTTGAGCAGAGTTTGATGAACATAAATGCTCTATCGTTTGGGGCATATATATTTATATTTGCTATGTCTTGTTGATATACAGTTCCCTTAAGCAGTATGAAATGTCCATCTTTATCCCTTTTGATTAACTTTGATTGAAGTCCACTTTATTTGATATGAGGATGAAAACCCCTGCTTGTTTATGCAGAACATGTGAATGGTATATTTTATCCCACCTTTCACCTTCAGTCTGTGGACGTCTTTTCCTATGAGATGAGTCTCTTGAAGGCAGCATACTGTTGGGTCCTTTGTTTTTTAATCCAATCTATCAGCCTATGTCTCTTGATTGGTGAGTTTAGGCCATTAATATTCAAGATTATTATTGAGACATGATTTGTATTTCTAGTCATTTTTGTTTATTTTTGGTATTTAACTTGATTTGGTTTCTCCTTTGGTTGACTTTTCCTTTATTATAGTTCTTCCCTTTGCAGATTTTTGTGTTGTTTTTTATTTTCTCCTCATGGAATATTTTGCCAAGTATGTTCTGTAGTGAAGGCTTTCTTGCTGTAAATTCTTTTAACATTTTTTTTTATCATGGAAAGTTTTTATTTCATCATCAAATATGAACCTTAATTTTGCTAGATATAAATTTCTTAATTGGCATCCATTATCTTTCAGAGCTTGGTATATGTTGTTCCAGGATATCCTGGCTTTGAGGGTCTGGGTTGAAAAATCTGCTAAAAACAAACTGGTCTTACCTTATATGTAAACTAATTTTTCTCTCTTGTAGCCTTTAAAATTCTATCCTTATTCTGTATGCTAGGCATTTTCATTATAATGTGTCTTGGCATATATCTGTTGTAATTTTGTACATTTGCTCTCCTATAGGCCTTTTGTATTTTATTTTCCAATTCATTCTTCATTCTTGAGAAATTTTCTGATGTTATTTCATTGAAGAGATTGTTCATTCCTTTGGTTTGAATCTCTGAACCTTCCTCTATCCCAGTAAATCTTAAATTTGGTCTTTGGGGGTATCCCATAATTCTTGGATATTCTGTTCATGGTTTCTTACCATCTTCACTGTGAGGTCAACTTTATTTTCAAGATTGTATCTTTTCTGTTTATTGTCTGAGGTATTGTCTTCCAAGTGATCTACTCTGTTGGTGATGCTTCTATTCAGTTTTTTTTATTTGGCTTATTGTTTGTTTCATTTCAAATATTTCTGGGTTTATTTTTCAGAATCTTTATCTCTTTCTTGAAGTAATCTGTTGTTACCTATATTTTCTCTCTTATCTTTCTGTTGGTGTGATCAATGATCACTTGTATTTGTTCCCTTATCTCTTTGTTGGAGTGATTGACTTTTGCCTGTATCTGCTCACTTAGGTCATTATTTAATTCCCTGATCATTTTAGTTATGTATATTCTGAACTGGTTCTCTGGCATGTCATCTACTTCACTATCTATGGATTCTATTGTTGTAGTGTATTGGTGTGTTTGGGGCACTTTCCTCCCTTGTTTTTTCATGATGTCTATGTGACTTCCTCTCTTGAAGTATAGATCCAGGGCATTACAGCTTCTGCCCTATTATCTTATAGTGTCCCTGCAGGTTACCAATACCTCACCTTTAAGAGGGAGATCAACATTACAGCACTCAATGTACCCAATGTGCAGCCATAGATCAGTTAACTTCTATTTTTACAGTTACAGTTTTGTCACTATAATCAGAAATAATGAGTTTGGTTATCTTCTACCATGTAGTCAATAGGTTTGTGTAATGGTTTATAGTTTCTAATGGTAGAGGGGGAACTGGGGGAGTTGGCTGAGATGTTTATGAGGTAAGATGTGAGAATATAGAGGTGTTGTATTATATGACTAGTGAAAGGGTAATTCATAAGAAGTTGGCTGTTAATAGGAGAAATAAGAGAGAGGCAACTCCATGCAAGACTCCCTGTTACCTCAGCAACAGGATAACTGTTAGCACCCCATGAAGAGATACCTCTTGGGTAGCCAGGCCCACAGGGTCAGTGGTGATGTCTTACCAGGTCCTTATTGTTGTCCCTTGATAGAAGTGGCAATATTGCAGATTCATGGTAGTCACAGCCTCAAACTTATATGTACCCTGATGTTGGGCTGTTAGCCACACTTTGGTGAATAATGAACCCCTGGGTGAGGGGTGCCTCTCCATGAGGGCGTGGTGCAGGGTAGTGGGGTGGGCCTCTCTCTAGGTTATCTTATAAGCAACTTTTTTTTGGGGGGGGGTTAAATGAATTCTATTTTTTCCATTAACTTTTTCTTGTTACTGGGATAACAGGAAAAGAAAAAAAAACTTTGCTAAAGACTCTCTGAAACTTTGTGTGGAAGACCTAAGGCATGCTGAAATAGAGGTTTCTTGAGGGTGCAAGGAGCTTTACATTGGCATTTCCTGAACTTTTTCTGTATTCTTTCTGCTGTTGCTCTAGAAGACAATCTCTAGGAATGTAAATTTCTGAGAAACATTCAAAAACCACAAATTATGGAGTTGATTAATTTCAAACATGAACAGACTCTCCCTTATCATTAATTTTCTTTTCTATCATTATAGAGAATAGATCAAATGTGACTGTGGATCAAGGTAAGCAACACACAATCTTAATTCATTTCAGTTAAGCATCAGATAACAAAATAAATCTCAAATAGAAATTTCATAGTTACCTTTGCTGGAGGCAGTTTGGATTGACAATAAACTCCATTAGTGTTTGTTATAATTAGATGAGGTTAAAAGATTTATATTGTATTTTTTCTTTGCTCATTAAGAATAGTGACTATGCAAACACTCAGAATATTCAGGTATACATTTATTATAGGACTATCCATACTCTCAAGAATGGATTGTTATACACAAAAACTGTCACTGTCTCTCAAGAATGGTAAAATGAGATAGCCAGGACACAGATAAAAGTATAGATCTTAGGAGAAAAAGATCTAAAGTCCATGGCAGTTATTAGTGAGATACTAAATATCCAACAGAGTACCAGCAATAAAAAGTGGAGTGACTTTGGTGAATACAACCAGAGTAAAATCCTGTCACCCTAGCTGCAAAAGTATCAGGAACAATTGTAAGGAAAAGAGTCCTGGGGAACTCCTGATTAATAAAGTTTCAATTAAATGAGCTTTTCTTCTATCCATTTATGATAGATAGCTTGGCTCTGATTTATATCAGGAACAGAACCATAAGTTCTTGGATTGCCATACTTTTTAATTTGATATCTTATACTACCTAGATGTACGCATCTAAGATGATAAATTATATGTTCCAGAAGGCCCTGGAATACAAGCAATTACAATTCAACTTGTATGTATTGCTAAATGTTTTCAGGGCCCTTCCATCCTACTGAGGTAAGAATTCGCCATCTGTTTTGAAACCATATAAGCAGACAAAACCACATGTAGCTGACTTACATAATTCTTTCAAGGAGAGAAGAAGCCTTGGGCTGCTGAATGTCAAAATTGCTTATTTCTCAGCGTAGTTGAGTGCAGAATCAGCAGTGGTGTAACAGAGGTTTGAAGGTGAATGACTGCACAGGTCTGAAGCCAAAAGTCTGTGTAGCAGATAGTGATTAAAAAAAAAGTGTTCATATAGACCATTTGTTAAAACCAACCCCTCAGGATAATAATAGTTTCTTTCCTAAATTATCTTTGCTTACACCTACAAGTTACAAAGGACAGTGGCAATGGATTGATGATTCTGAACTGCCACTTATATTTTGCTTGCAGAAAATGGAATGGTCAAAAAGTATCAAATGACTGCTACCTCCAACTTAAGCAAAAAAATTGTCACAAGAAACAATTTCCAAATACTTTTCATCTTTACAGTTTCATTTCACAGTTACTTATTTTGTTAAAAAATAGGTTATTCATTGCCGCAGTCTGGCTGGGCACAATCAGGAGCCACTTGTCAAAAGAAACTAACTTTATTTTTAGAACCACACACGCCAAACAAAACAGCCTCTCAGGAAAAACCCTCAGAGCCTCAACTGCCACCACCGGCTTTCCACAAGCCTCTCTCTCCCACACAAGCTTCTCTCCACCTCCCACAATCCTCCTGCTCTTGAGGCCGATTGGCTGGGTCACGTGGGCGGAGCCAAAAAAGTTCCCCAATGAGCAGCTCCGTGGTCTGAAAGGGCAGGGAAACAGCCCAATGAGCATCACCGCAGAGGAGCCAATCAGCTAGATGTTGCTGGGGCCGAGGAGCCAATCAGCTAGATGTTGCTGGGGCCGCTGTGAGCCAATCATCAGCCGGCAGCTGGAAGTTTGCTGGCAGCTGGAAGTTTGCTGGGGCCCCTTCGGCTGTGGCTCTCAACAATTCATGATAATTATCTGCTTATGTTTTAAATTCCCCTTATGATTACTGATGTTCATTGTAGCTGGCCTAGTTTGTTCATAGAATTAAATACATATTAAGAAACCAATATTTGCCACACATTTTACTAAGCACTGAACACATAAACTAACTGTACACTTATTAATGTTACATTTTACTCCATATTAAAGCAACACACTTATTATCAAAATCAACTAATTCTGGTATCTATTACTGTCCAATTTGAAGGAATTTTATAACTCATTATAACTATTAATGCTTCACTTATGAATAAAGTTTTCTTCACTAAACATCACAAAAAGGGAAATTTTATGAAAATTAAGAACCCTCTGTTAAGAGCAATAGACACAGAATCCAGCTAAATTAAATTAAAATGAAAAAGATTAGCAGAATGTGACTGGTTGTGGAGATCTTTCTAGGAAAAAAGAGAATAAGAACCAAATAGGCATCTCAGTAGCTCTATAATATTATTCAGTCACAACCATTGTCCTTGTAACAGTTCATTGAAGGATCAAGGTACTGGCAGTGAGTCTGAAGTATTATAATCAAGCTATGCATCATTGTGATAGGAGAAGTAATTAAGAGCTTAATCTAACAAATCTAATCTGCAGTGTGAGGGAAGCTCATCAGTAGTTGTCTGGGGCTGGAAGTTGGGTGGTATGAGTTACTTTGAAAAGTGGTACAAGTAAGCCTTTGGAAGTAATATATTTTGATTAGGTTGATAGTTACACTGAGGCACACATTTGTCAAAAATCATCGAAAAGTACATTTTGGTGAATTTATTATATATACATTATGTACACAAAAAGTTGGTTTACAAATATATCCAGAAATATTGCCACACCTAAATATATTAAAACATGCCTATAAATACTTTGAGAATAACAATATATCAACTGTGCCTACCACATCTTTAGAATGGCAAAATTGAATCTGGCATGACAGAGTGAAGGAAATCCAGATTGTAAAACAATGACCATTTAAAGCCTCAGGAAATAATCCCAAGTAAAAAAATGAAATGAAGAAATATTTGTTCAAGAAAATCTATGAAAACGAAGTAAGAAGAGCAACAGTCTTTGATGTATCAACCAGAACCACTCTTTTCCCTCCCTGATAAACAAGGTGTAGAATTTCCACTCCAGAGTTACACAGCCAAGAACACAAAACTCCTGCCACATTTGTTCCAGGTTGGAGAGCTTTCTTCCTGGGAGGATTAGGTTCTCAGCATTTCTCATATTGACTAAACTATCTTTATCTATTTCAAAGCAAAGTCCCAGGTAAGTGTGTATAAAGGGGGGATCAGAATAGCAGATATTATGCACACTAATAACAATAAGTGTTGATGAGGATATGGGGAAAAAGGCACACTCATACATTGCTGGTAGGACTGCAAATTTGTACAGCCAATATAGAAAGCAGTATGGAGATTCCTTGGAAAACTAGGAATGGAACCACCATTTGACCTAGCTATCCCACTCCTTAGTCTATACCCAAAGGACTTAAAAACAGCATAATGCAGGGACACAGCCACATCAATCTTTATAGCAGCACAATTCACAATAGCTAAGCTGTGGAACCAACCTAGATGCCCCTCAGTAGATGAATGGATAAAAAATGTAGCATATATACACAATTGAATTTTACTCAGCAATATAAGAGAATAAAATCATGGCATTTGCAGGTAAATAGATGGCGATGGAGAAGATAATGCTAAGTGAAGATAGCCAATCCCAAAAAAACAAATGCCGAATGTTTTCTCTGATACAAGGTGACTGACTCATAGCTGGGTAGGAAGAGAGAGCAAGGGAGGAATAGACAAAATCTAGATAGGGCAGAGGGTGGGAGGGAAAAGGAGAGGGCAGGGGCTTAGCAATGATGGAGGTATGTGATGCACATCATTATCCAAAGTACTATATAAAGATATGAATTGGTGTGAACATACTTTATATACAAACAGAGATATGAAAAATCATTCTATATGTGTAATAAGAATTGTGGTGCATTCCACTGTCATGTATTTAAAAAAATAAAACAAACAAACAAAAAGATAAATGGTTTGAGCTGGGGTTGTGGCTCAGTGGTGGAGTGCTCGCTAATACATGTGAGGCACTGGATTTGAGCCTCAGGACTACATAAAAATAAATAAATAGAATAAAGACATTGTATCCATCTACAACTAAAAAAAATTAAAAAGACAAATGGTTTATATAAAAATGCCCCCTTTTCCATTTGGAATAGTAAATGCTATGTTTTCTCACCTTAATTTGACAACTTTCTCTTAGGTTTAGAAGAGAGAGAGAGAGAGAGAGAGAGAGAGAGAGAGAGAGAGAGAGAGAGAGAGAGAGAAAAGAGAGGAGAGGAGAGGAGATATTTGACTTTGAATATGGCATGATGAGACATAGACCCTGATTTATTTTCCCCTGACTTGTGAGGAATACATCAGTGCATGAAGAGGCAAGCCAAGAGGATCTTAGGATGATTTCCCCTACACCCTCTCCTCCCCAAATAATTAGCTTCTAAACTACGAATGTCACTTGTAATTTTGTATAGTTGCTACTCACAGATCCAGAGCTCTAGCTTAGAAAATGTGCCTGGTGCCAGGGGAGGGGAGAAGCATGTTAGAAAAAAAATGACAGCATTAATATCATACTCAAAGAGATAACTTTGTTTAAAACATATTTTGGAGAAGTATAAGTTTAAGGGTACTCTAGAGAATCATGGAGACTGTTGTGAAAGGCAACCAAAAGGATATTGAAGGCATGGTCTAAATTATAGGTGGGCTAGTTTGTAAGAGAGAACTATATTATAAGAGTTGGAGGCACCACCCTGGAGTTAAAATACAATCAAACAAACAAACAAAAATCTGACCTCAACAACTCCCTACAAAGGAGACAGAATTTAGTTGGATTATTTTATACAACAATTTATGCTCTGGAGCATTATGAAAAATAGACCAATCACCAAGCAATTAATGAATAGAGCAATTAGTAATGAGAGCTGTCAGGGAATAAGGAAAATTAAGAGAAGGAATTGAAAGGGAAACTAAAGAAGAAATTAAAAGGGAAATCAGAAAATACTTTAAGGCAAATGAAAATGAGGATATAAAATTCCAAAATGTATAGGATATAGCTAAAGAAATTATTAGAGGGAACTTTATAACTGTAAATAAGAAATAAGATCTCAAATCACCAATCTAACCTCTTACAAAAGGACACTGGGAAAAGAAAAGACAGCTTTTCTTTTACAACTCACAGAACTTGTCTGTTCCACATAGCATAGCAATTTTCAAACTTCCTAAATCAATATCAAACTACAAATTCAAAATAAATTTCTATTTTTCACAGGTTTTTCTTTGTTATGCATTTAACAATTAAGTCAGCTTTGATTATTCCCAACATTACACAGTAAATCCCTTAGATTGGTTGATGGTAATGTAAAAGAACATGATCCTATTTGTACCTGATTAGTTTTCATCTTGGGGAAGGCTCAATTACAATTTGATGAACATGCAGAATGAAAGCTGCTAATTTTGAATTTTGTCTACCCACCAATGATTGTTCACCTAAATCTCAGCAGGCTTTTCCTACCTCTGCCCTCAGACCACTTCATCTCTACATAAGCAGATGAGTTTCCTCTACTGTATGCAAAAATGTTGAGCATGCATGCTTTCCAAAGAAATTAAATTAGGTGAGATGTTTTCAGAAAAAAATATGTTCTATGTTCAAACATGCTTGGAAAATGTTCAACTTAATACCTACATCTTTAAATATTTAAAATGCATTTTTAAAGGCACCAAAAAGATAATGTTTAGTACTGATTTTCAAGTCTTCCTTAAGTTTATTTGAACCCAATAACATTATTCATATAACACTTTTTAAAAAACTGTGAAAAAAATCAGCATAAATGCATCCTTTCTGGTCAGGTGGGTCCTTATCTCTTAGAATTGGATCTGAATCCTTTTTTTTTTACTCTAAACCTGGTTTTATTTATTTATTCATTTAAATTTTAATTTGTTATATATGACAACAGAATGCATTATAATTCATACTACACTTATAGAACACAACTTTTCATATCTCTGGTTGTACACAAAGTAGAGTCACATTCTTCATGTCTTCATACATGTAATTAGGGTAATGATGACCATGGCATTCTACCTTCTTTCCTACCTCTATGCTCCCTCTCTTCACCTCCTCCCCTTTTCTCTTTTGCCCTATC